AAATCCTAAACCCTGGACCCTATATTTCTCTCTGAGGAAATGGAATTCCCAGGTAGGTGTTCGAGATCCTGGGTTCACCTGGAACCCCAGTTGCCCACTGTCTCTCTGGTCTATACCCAGTTTGGGATTTGGGGTCTAGGGTAACTGCAGGCACGTGGGGTTACAGGTAGGTTTCAGGNNGGTTTAGGATTTAGGGCTTAGAGGCGGTTTAGGGTTAGAGTTGTTGGGCTTAGGTTAAGGGGTTCAGGGTCGAGGGGTGCAGTTTATCAAGGGATTAGAACTTGGACCCGTAAGGTCGTACCCCTAAAGGGTTTCCCCAATATACCCCTAATATGGCCCTGATATTCTGAATGGAGTTCCTCAAAATGGTCCCTAAAGGGTCCCCAAACCCAGGGGTACAACCTTAGGGGTCCAAGGTAGAACCGTTTGAGTTTATGGCGGTCATGGTCGAGAAAAAGAGAAACTCTGAGCCTAAACCCTAAACCCTAAACCCTTGAGCCGGCTTAGGGTGTGGGGCTTAAGGTTTGCGGCCTTTAAGGCTCCAAGTTGAAGTCCCTTTTTTTTTGGTTCCCCGAACCGGAACCCCCTCTTTCAGGGTTTAGGGTTTAGGATTTAGGGTTTAGGGTCTAGGGTTTAGGGTTTAGGGTTTAGGGTTGACTATCATACGATTCTCATAGGGTCCTTACTAAGACTCGGGGCTATGGGAACCAAAGCACTCTTGCAATGGTTGGGGTTACCAAAGCGCTCCTAACCCCCACAAGCCTGGCAGGGTTATGGTCTTACCGGAACCCTAGGGTCTGCCCCCCCCAAACAATGTAGGGGACCCTGAATTCAAAATGTTTGAGGGGTCTCAGCTGAATCCTAATGGTATTAGTATTACTCCGTGGGACTTAGCTTGAACCTTAGACCCTTAACCCTTTGGGATTCCCTTGTATTCCTATTATAGGTAATTAAGGGTTAAACCTTAGTAGGGATCCTAAGGGCCACGTAGGAATGTTGTTAGTATTCGTCTTAGTTAAGCTGAGCTCTGAACTGTCAGGGTTTGTCAGGAAATAGTAAGGTTTTGGGAACTAGGTATCCTTAAGCTCTCACTTGACTTCATTTTTGTAGGTAAGAAATTCAATGAACACTAAAGGTTTTAGGTCTTCTTGCCTCCATTTTTTTTTAAATTTTGGCCCCCCAAAACTTGACATTAAAGAGGGTACCCTAAACATATGCAGGCCCTGAATAATTCCAAAACACTTGACTTTAAAGAAGGTGCCTCTTGTTAAGCGGGTCCAGCATTCACAGCAAGGCAGGAGCAGAAAAACAAGAAGGACCGGCTGTTGGCTTAGGGTTTAGGGCCAGGGTTTGGGGCTTAGGCTAAGCTTAGGCTATATTAGGGGTCCTCACCCCACCCCCTAAACACTAAACCCTGAACCTGAAACCTTAAACCAGGTCCCAATTATAGGGACGCCCACATACACATTGCGTGTGACTCTTTGGAAGCCGCTGCTTTCTGCACAGAAAAAGCTCGGAAGGGCCGGCTGAGGGGCCAGTGGTGGCTAAGCCTACAGCTAACCCGGTTGGGAGGCCGAAAGGGCCACCCGCACCACCACCGAAGCCGTTCATTCACTCCTGGGACCCTTTTCTACAAGGGCAGCTCCCACCCCAGGCTTTCGAATTCCCACGAAGCTGGCCTGCCCGTGGGCGACGAAGGCATAGATGGAGGAATGATTTTTTCTGCTTCGTCGTGCGCATGAGCTATGCTTCTTGTGCTGTGCAGACGCCTGCCATTATTTCGCGCATATGGAAACATGTCCCTTGCTCTCTCGTACCACGGGCGGCTACGCGCTGCGCACGCTCAGAGGATTCCACAGCCAGTCTTGCACGTGGCAAAAGTGTAGCCGCAAAGCCTAAAACCCTAAATCCTGTGAACCTTAAGCCCCAGGCCCAGCCAGAAGCCTCAAAACCCAAAACCCTAAATCCTCAAGGTGTACAACCCTAAAGGCCTAAGACCCTAACGTCCTAAACTCTGCCACCCTAAAACCCTAAAAACCTTAAGCCCCTGTATGGAACCCAAAATCCTAAATTCTAAGCCCCAATGCCTGAGCTGTGCAACCTCCACTCCACCACGGTCCCAGGAAGAGGGGGCTACGGTCGGTCCCGTCTACGCCATGTACTATCCCAAGGACGGTGCAGGGTTTAAGTGTTAGCATGTAGAATTAGGGTTCAGGGTTTAGAGTTTAGGGTTTAGAGATTCCGGTTTAGGCATGAATGTTCTGGGCTAGAGTTGAAGGTTCAAGGTTCAGGATTGATAGGGTTTATGGTATCAAGGGTTCAGGGTGTCTAGGGTTTCGGATGCTATGTCGACATGCTCAACCCTATGCAGGGACTAGTTGCGAGGACCTCAGGACGAGGGTTGGTCATAATGAAGGGCTTACGGTCTAGGCCTCAGGGTCTAGAGTGTAGGGTTCAGGGTTTCGTGCTTCGGTTATTAGGGTATCATGATTATATATTGGGTTCCCGCGATCCCAACCCCAAACCCTAAACCTTTCGGGCCGGTCGGGATTGGGTTCGAGGCTTTAGTCCACAGAGTTTCGAGACCTGACTCAGCCAGTGCAAGATCTTGCTCCTCGAAGATCTTTCTATAAGAAGTTTGTACAAGATACTACGGAACAAAAACCCTAAACTCAAAGCTCCGCACGCCAACCCTAAACCCAATAATAACGTCCTCGATCCCAAGCCCTAGAGCCCCAAACCCTCAACCCTACAGTCCTTCCAAGAAAAAAACCCAACCCCTAAATCCCAAGAACCCTGAACCTACAACCCCTAAAACCCCTAAACCCTGAGCCCTAAACTCCTAAGCCCCAAACCCTAAACCCTAAACCCCAAACCCGTAAAACAACTTATGAAACCTTATAAACACTTTTAACACACCTAAAAGATTTCAAAAAACAGCCTAAGCCCCCCTTCCCCGCCCCAGGAGAAGGAGGAGATCTGGTGGCTCGTCGTCGGAGGCCCCAAGAGTGCGCTGGCCTGGAACCCGGAGAGGTCTTTGGTGGTTATTGAGTAGTGTTTTATGTGGGGATAGTATGGTACCCAATATAGAGTAAGATTCCAGCCTCCTTTTGGGGTATAGTATTTTATATAAGGAATATAATCTGACTAGGTTCAACCACCCAAAAAAACGCTACTCTATTGTTTAGGGTATAGGATGTAGGGTTAAGGGTTTGGGGTTTAGGGTTTAGGGTTTGGGGTTTAGGGTTTGGGGTTTAGGGTTTGGGGTTTCGGGTTTTTGGTTTAGGGTTTTGGGTCTAGGGTTTTTGGTTTCGAGTTCAGGGTTCAGGATGCGGGGTCGTAGGGCGTGGGTTGTTTTTTCAAGGGTTTAGGATTTGGGGTTTGGGGATTCGGGTTCAGGAGTCTAGCGGTTTCTCGAAACAGGGCCACGACTATTTTAACATGTTGGGATCAGAAGAGCCCTTGTATGATGTAAGTTTACATATATACCTGTCTATGTATATGTAAGTACTTGCTGTGGATCCTGTTGAGAAGCTCACATCCTGAAACCCGAAACCCCAAACCCTAAACCTGAACCGCCACCCTCTTCGGACCTGTCAGAACAACTCTAAATCCTTTGGGGTTCAGGGGCTTCAGGGCTCGAAGCGTGACATCTCAAGCATGAGGGATACCCGTGGTTCGGGGTTTAGGGCCCGTTTCGGGGTTTTAGATTTAGGGTTTAGGGAAAGAGCAATGGCGAAT